CATTTTGATGATGAAAATAAGGTGAGTTTTAAACTTTTATAGGGGGGCTAAGGGTGGCAAGCCACCTAAATGGTGGGTTAAGCACTGTAGGGTCAGGAATACATGTTTGTGTTCCTGACCCTATAGTGTTCCTTTAAAAAAAGAAAATTCCTAATAAATAAATAAAAATCTTATGGCGCTCAATAAGACACCCATAGTTTTAACACCTCCCTATCCCCCCACCAGCCATACGGCAGGTGGCAGCATGTCTGCTAGATGTCTTAAATTAGCCCCAACCATGGCGGATGGAGCCTGAGAAATAATGGGGGGATAGTTCTCCTTGTACTCACACCCACAGACAAAATTTGACAGACTTTAAAGGACCACTCTAGGCACCCAGACCACTTCAGCTTAATGAAGTGGTCTGGGTGCCAGGTCCTTCTAGGGTTAACCCATTTTTTAATAAACATAGCAGTTTCAGAGAAACTGCTATGTTTATTAATGGGTTAAGCCTTCCCCCTAATCCTCTAGTGGCTGTCTCACTGACAGCCACTAGAGGCGCTTGCGTGCTTCTCACTGTGATATTCACAGTGAGAGCACGCCAGTGTCCATAGGAAAGCATTGTAAATGCTTTCCTATGCGACCGGCTGAATGCGCGCGCAGCGCTTGCCGCGCATGCGCATTCAGCCCAGGAGGAGGAGAGAAGGAGGAGAGCTCACCGCCCAGCGCTGGAAAAAGGTAAGTTTAAACACCTTTCCCCCTTCCAGAGCCGGGCGGGAGGGAGTCCCTGAGGGTGGGGGCACCCTCAGGCCACTATAGTGCCAGGAAAACGAGTATGTTTTCCTGGCACTATAGTGGTCCTTTAAAAATATGTAATTGGGATTGAACAAATCACTGTCCACCCCCTGCCCTTACCTCTGCCCAGTAAAGGATCTAGTGTGTCAGAATAGTGGTGGGTGGGCGCTCTAATTAATTAAAGAAGATGGGGTAGACATGCTATAGTCCCCAAAGCCCTCACCCTAATTATAGTGAGTGGGGGAATACATCCAATACTTTTAAAAATAAAAGTTATACTTACCCATCTAATGTCTTTTTTCTAACTTATCTTCTGCCCTAAAAAAGTGCAAATAAAAATTCATAAATGTCAATGTTTGTTTTGTGAATGTCAAAAATTCACAAAAAAATAAAAATGATGAAGAAATGTTAAAACATGCCACAATAAAATCAGTCCCTTATCTATGGAGGGCTCTACGTAGGCTCCGATAGTGGCAAATTGTGTGGGAAAATGTCTAAAGTTATGTAATCAGTAGGAGTATTCTAAATGGTTGACTAGTAAGCGAACCAATCAGAGTTCTCTGACAGGGAAATCTGGAGAGAAGTGATTCTTCTCTCAAGATTTGCCTGTCAGAGTGCTCTGATTAGTGGTTGTCCACATAATTAATCCTTGTGCCGCCGAGGGGCTTTTGCCTGCTGGCTGCTTTTAAAAATCTGGGCATTGATTTGAAGCCTTTTGGCCCAGATTTGCAGCATTTGGTATGAATTTCAACCATTTGGTGGCAGAGCTTAAAACTATTAGCTGAGTGGGTGAATGTTTCCCTAATGCTTTGCACCTAATCAGCCACCATGTCACATCTAATGTTTTCAAACTGTACCGTGCGCTCTCCGTGAGCTTGGATATCTGCTCTAACAATTTGTCAAATTCTACTTGCAGTGATGTTTGCAGTCTCCATAGCATTTTTTGGACCAAGGAGTCCGTTGTTGGTACTAGGGCTTTCGTTGAGATAGAGGTAACGTCACTCCTATCAGAGCTGGATTCTGGGGATGTAGGCTTGTCGGCATCATCTTGTGCGCGGATTGGCGGTGACGATAAGGCTGTAATTTGTGGAGATGCGGTCTTCGGTTTTAGTTTTTTTGTTGATCGTTGTGCCATAGTGAAGGGCACTTCTGTAAGCAACTTTGTGCACGAATTTATCCAGATCCGCTCGTTTAATCGCTGTGATTAACGCTAACGCGTCCATCTCTGTCAGCGGTCAGGTCACCCCCCCCAAAAAAAGTATATTTTAAGTATATATTAAAATGTCTTTGCCCTTACTTTTAAAAAACATTTTCATTGGATTGTCAGCAAAATAAAATTGCGGACTTTCCATTACCAGCATGCTGTTTGCATGCATTGATTGACACGCCCCACAACAGATGAAGGTTGGGAGAATGCCAGTGAACATGGCGTCACATTGGGTATCAGAGTGGTGCCGCAATGTACTACCATACTGTATGAATGCGCTGTATAGTACCCGGGAGGATGTGACATCATCAGATCATATGGACTTTTTTGTTTGTTAGGTATTTAAGTGAGAACTTGGAATTAGTACTTAAAGAAGGTTTTCTAGCCAAAACATGTTTGTTTTTACCATATTTATTGTTAATGTATTTTTTTTCACTCTTGGTTACTGAAGGTTGGTGAGTGATTTTTGTATGTACTATAGATGCTCATTACCATTTCTTTTTATAGTACCCAGTGTTTTTATTCTCTATCATCCTCTACATTCTGTATGAAATTAAATAGTTTTTTACTCGAATATATTATCGTCATGTACTTCATCCTTACAAGTGGATCCATTAGCCAGATTTGGCAGCCTAGAGCTGTTTTATACCGAGCCTGGTATGGCTCTGGGCCATGTGAGTTATATTCCAGCCCCATCCATGTGGTATATATTGTTTAAAGCAGTTCACACTATGTTATTTTTTCTGTTTTACTGTAGATTTACAACGTAATGTGTACGTTTGTATATTGGTTTATTTATTCTTTGCACTTGGGTTTTTGATGCACTGGTATATTGTTTTGTCACAACTTGGCAACTAACGCACAATTATTATTATTATTATTATTATTATTGGTATTTATATAGCGCCAACTTATTCTGCAGCACTGTACAATAATATGAAAGTGGGGAAATTTAACAATAAATGAGACAATTACAAAATGATAATTGTCTCATTTATTGTTGAGTGTGTTTGTCAGTGTATGAGTGTGTAGATGAGGACCCTGCCCAACCGAGCTTACAGTCTACACACACATATATAGATTTGTCCAGTAACCATGCTGTTCACTAAACTTTGAATATGCAAGTATACCCAACTCAGATATAGTCACTGCTTGATTATTTTAGCCTCAATTATGCCATTCGGATTCCAGTTTGATGCCATTCAAAGTATATTGAATATCTCTGTAAGAGAAAACTTTCGAAGGGAAGTGTTCAATTTTGTTGAGATGAGGCTATCTGAAGAGGCTATTTGTCTTGCTGGAAACCAGTGGAGTGGGAGATAAGGATCTCATCATCTGTCTTGAGATAGAAGTAAAACAACTCATGCACCCCACTCATTTATCACTTGCTAGTTTGCAGTTTCCTAATTGTTATCTCTCAATGAACAGTGGAAATCTCAGCACTCCAACTAGTGGGTCATAAACGGCCTTTCTGTACCATGTAGACAGACTGTAAGTGCTCTGGAAAACTTCGGATGTACCACTGCTTCCCCATTACATGCTGCAATAGCATTGATTTGCCATAAAGGCAGCACACATTAACAAAGTCACCAATATAGTTTCTAAGGGATGCATATTATGGTAGCCCCCCAAAAAACAAAATAATTAAAGTACTAACAACAAGTATTTATTCTCTTTACTGAGTATCCATATTAGTATCCAAGTACTAACAATACATAGAGGTAGAAAAAGAAGTAAAATATTCAAAGTGCTAACTGTGCATATTGGGAGGTGATAGGGAGAGAGAGCGAGACATAGCCACATACCAAATTATGTGAACATGCTTTGCAACTTCAAAGGATGCTTTCTCACAAACTATCTACACAGACTATACGGTTTATTCACTAAACACAGAGTAGTGTTTCAATTGTAATGAATTAAAAGTAAAATTACAAATTAAAATTGCCAAGTTGTGACTTTAGCACAATTGGAGAATTTTTCAAAATGAACACCTTTGGTTGAAGTTTGCAATTTGGCTTTCATTTCACTATAATTTCATGTTTTGTAGTCCAAAGACCTTTACCAAGTGTTGAGGTCTATGCATTCATTATAGATTACTGTAGACTACATTTGCAGAACCTCAGTTTCATGATATCAGTGATTAGGTAAGCTTGTTTGAGCATGGTCCACACACTGCTCTAATGCGTCCAACTTGAATTGTTACAAATACTTATTTGTTAGTGCACCTGTTGTACAGCACTGGTGATTTTTTTTTGTCATTTTATGATTATAATAATAATTCTGCACAGTTCTCATAATAAATGCTTAAATTACTTGCAGTGCCCCATATGATCATGAAGGACACAACTGAAATAATATGATGTCATATAGTATAGCTTGACACCATCTGCCTGGCTGCCTTTGATAGATTTAATATATCAGTCCAGGTGTAAGTACTTAATTCGTCAGTAAAATTAATTTTAAAGAGGGGGCCAGGACACAACAGTGGAGGTGACAGGATGCACCTCGCTTGAGCTCCGATAATATCAGCAAACAAACGCCAATATTTATTTATTTATAAAATATTTTACCAGGAAAGATACATTGAGATTTCTCTCGTTTTCAAGTATGTCCTGGGTCCACAAATCATTGCGTTGTTACATTAGGGTACAATAAAATACAAAACCAATATTAATACACAATAAATACAAAATTCCTGACCAAATTACAGCCTCAAGTCCCAGAAATCACCCGTAGGTGTTCTACTTACCCTCAGCCACCAGCCAATGCTGTTCTTATTCAGCCAAACGGCAGAAAAGTGCACCGCAAAATCAGGGCCTACTCGGGCCTTCTCAACTCAGGAGCCCTGTTCCAGAGTGCTGTGTGGCCTTTCTGACATGTCAGACACTTACCATCCGCCTAAATACCACCAGGTCAGTGAATCCACTGCAATGGGTCGCAGAACACAGCGAACACAGGCAAACGTGAGCGAAACACCTAAGACATCGGCACCATGTTGCAGCACCCTGCGGCCCCCAAAATGGCCAATGAGTCTGACCACAAGGCGGGATCCACCTGCTCAGATACTCACACAGAAGAACCCTCAGGTCCATCAAAAACTCCTTCAGCCAAAGAGGTAAAATCGCTGGCTACAAAACAGGACATTCAAGACCTTCTACACAACATGCAGCAGATGTTTCAGGCTGACATTAACACAGTCTGGATGACCGAAGCCAGCAAACTAACCTCAAAAAACATGGTATCCCCGACACTGTCGACTCAGGTAAGCTACCACATTACTACCGCCGGCTATCCAAGCTAGGAAAATCAGATTGACAATTTTTGGGGATCAACAAATCCTCACGGGCCCCCACCTCAGCCACTCGGGACTCAGTTGTCATATGCCAATCCCTGACAGACAAAACTCCCATCAGCTTCGAGACTGATCAACTAATGTTCTATCAGGATTTATCAAGAAACACACTACAATGGAGAAGGACTGTGAGCCCCATCACCAGTCATCTGAGAAGCGCAGGAGTTTTGCGGTAGTGAAAGATGGCTCCCTTGTGCGACTGACTTCTATGTCGGAAGCTGACACTTTTCTCCAGGCCCTGGGTTTTCAGAGAAACGTTCTCATCATCGACAGCTGCACACACCTGGGACCCAGAGAGAACAGCACCTTTCATCCCTAGAAGTAAATGAGGATCGAATGTGGACCCTCATACCAGTCCAAGCACTTTGCTAATTCCTAACTGTTAATTTCTACATATGTTAGTTTACAGTTATTTTAGCTTTTGTTTTGTTTGCTGATTGAGAGGGAAAAAAACAGATAACACAGATCAAGTATTGACCACAAAGGTGCTATAAGCCCTGAGTGACACATTTCTTTTTCCCTCCCCAGGACTGGGAGTTATCTGTTTTGGTGTGGCCTGACACCTCCAAGTGTAAGCAGTTCAACAGTTTCATATGCTGGTGCTACCTCTTGTAGAGCCAAAAACTCCTACAAGAAAGTTTCAGTTCTACTGAGCTAAGCTTTGCCGTGCGGGACCAGCTCATTGGCCGAGTGTGTCCGTTGACCACGATCAGCGAAAGAGCACCTTCCTTCTATTCCCCTTTATGCTTCTGCTTTACTTCTACCCACAATTTAAATGCACCAACTGGTGGCACAGAATTTAGAATTTACGCATAATCTGAGGAGAAACCTTTAGACATATCAAGGCCATCTCCAAAACCTGGTGGGTTCTTGGTGAAGACATTTCTTCATGTAACTGGGACCCTGCCAAAATTACTCCCTTTGTATAGATTGTTAATTCTCCGGACTCATATGTGCTGTCAACTGGCTGAAATATTTTATGTGAAGGACCTACTTTTTGGACATTACCCATATTCTTTGCAGACTGAATAGTCTAGTGGACACTATCCACTTTACTGTTATTTTATTACAAAGATTTTTCTGTTCATTTCTTTTTTTTTGTTTTTTAATTCTTTATTTTTGGCGTGCATAATAGTAAAATCGGGCATGCAATGCCCCAATAGCATTTTCAAGCATTCCAAAGACATATCAGATCAGTTACAGGGCATGCTATAATACTACACATTTTTTAAAAGTAAAAGAACATAAATGAGGAGACTAGTGCATTTCTAGTGAGATAATTTGAGGAAAAACAAAAGGAGAAAAAAAATATATGCCCTTAGAGTAAGTGGTATTGCTCTATTGTTAAACAAGTGGTGAATCAGTGCATAATTTATGTCGCGGATATAACATTGGACCCTCATTCTAAAGGAAAATCAAGAATAGAAAGAACACTAGTAGAACAGATATGTCTAAGTTACAATGTGGATAGTTAATACAATGTTAAACAAAAATCTGCACACCAGTCAAGCCATAAGACTTGCTTTTCCCACAGAAATCCCAAATCTGCAGTGATGTTAAAACCGCAAAGGATTCTGGGTGGGCATATGCAAATCAGTTTAACAAAGAATCAAATTTTTGCCTCATTCCATTTTAAACATGTATTCTTTTTAATCTGTGTTTGCAGTATACAACTGCTTGGAACACAATTTAGGAAAAGATGCAAAACCAGTGAACCACTCATGGACAGCTGTTTCGTTGTTAATCAACTCTTCAGCATGAGGTTGGTTACTGGTTTGCTTATTGAGGCTTGGTAGTGCTTGGGAAGCAAAATCCATTTGGGATTTCTGTAGGAAAAGCAAGTCTTATGGCTTGACTGGTGTGCAGATTTTTGTTTAACATTGTATTAACTATCCACAGACTTCAGGTGGAAGGGGTTTTCAATCACAATTTTTCCCCACCATAACCTATTTGGATTTTGCTTCTAAGTTACACTAGCAGATTAAACAGACATTCGCTATGCATTGGTTAATGAAGTTTGTTTAAAACAGGTTGCCTAAAAATTACCAATGAGGCTCCTAAACTCTATCTGCTACTGCACTACAACAGTTGAGGCATTAGGTATGGAGAGGAATATAAGGCATGTTATAAAGCAGAAATAATGGCTCGTTGTGCATCTGTTATAGAGATCAAGTGGCGGCTGTCCACAGTAAGTAGCTGAAATATGCACAGCCTAAGCGATGGTCCCAGAACCTAAATCAGCCAATCCCTATCAGTGGCAAGGCTGGTCTAGAAGGTAATAAGTCAAAGAGGCTTCTCTGAACGAGCATGGGCACCAGGCAGTTCAGTGTGCGTTTGATTGCAACGGTAAGCGAGGCTCGATGATGCAGCACCTCGATGCTTGCTGCAGGCAGGCTGTGCTGGGAGCGGAGATATTTTTTTCTCCACAGCTGTTTGTGCCGTCCCTTCTACTGTGTTCCTTTGGGGAGATGTTGAAAGCGTGGACGCAGGCTGCGGCGGCTCACAGAACAGCCTCAGTTCAGCCACTCGAAGTGGAGATAGGTCTCCTGTCACAGAGCTTTGCCCCAAAGCGTGGTCGGCGAGTTTAGCGCACGTTCAGATGGGGCCCCGGTCCAGAGCTGGAACAGGGAACAGGCACCTCCTCCATCTTAGCAGGCAAAGCTTGAATTGGAGGTCTACGTTGTATGCGCCTCTAAAACGCCTGGCAGATCCGGTAAAATTGTGCCGTGAAATGCTCTCTCCACCGCTGGATCTCTGAGTCTTCCCGATACTGTAGAGTTTGTGGCACGGTCGCCATCTTAAAGTCGCCATGCGGATTTTGACTTCTGAGGGAAGATCAGTGCTGCAGGTGAGTATGTTTCCCCAGTGGTCCAAAGGGGGGGGCAGCGGGGCTGTAGACGAGCTGCTGGTTAGATCGGGCACCCTGTCAGGAGATCGGCCGCCTCTCCCGGTCACCAGGCCGCAATCCACACCAGGCCTCATTCTCCAATATTGGTACTGCTCGACTACAATTTGTAGATCCCAACTCCCTCTTGTTTCAGCAACAGACCATCTTCTTACAAGGCTGGAAATATCACGATTAAAGGTAGTAAATGCTGAAATTTTGATCATCCATGCCAGAGCTCTCAAGACACGTCTGGCCATCTTGGCTGTCAGGCCCCGCCCACTGTGTTCATCTCTTTTGTACACCTTATCACGTTTGTCATCAAAATGATGTTCCCCCTAGCTGTATCATTAAAATTGTTACTCCAAGCACTATGACCACTTCAGTATTTAAATGTGGTTTTGGCGCAAGGAGCCTGTGTATGCAGCATTTCATGCTAGTGGAGATTTGACTCTTGAAAACAGTATAACCTATAACTAAGTTGTATTTAGTCACTGGATTGTGCTAAACTAAATAACAGATCCCCTTTAATTGAGCTGTTTGTGTGTATATATTATATATATAATTATTATTATTATTATATTGTAAATGTGCATTAATTTCAGAGGGAGTTTTTAATTTTGCTCATATATTCGTATCATAGGGGAAATTTGCTTTTAAATCAAACTACACGCTAACAGAAATATAATATT